TCACTGTATAAACCAAAATATAATTATCTAGTGGTTGATTAATCAATTTACACGTGAAGCAAAAAGATGTTACATACATGTCACACCGAGTGGGACAAATTATAGGCTTACCAGCTTCATCTGCTGATCTTTGAACAATCGAAGGCTGCTGATACAGTACACAATATAAGAACACAAATCCAAGTTATCATATTTACTTTATGCCACAAACCTCGATTCTTTACGGTATGTATAAATTTGCAGCATTTATCAAAAGTGGAAAACTGATATAATTTAGCGTGTTAAGGAAATTCAGTCTGAGTTGTATCATACAAAATAATAATGTGTTTTCTTTTTTTAACCAGGTATTTTATTTGTACTGTTGAGGAATTAGAAAAAAAAAGGCAGTTTTATATTACCAATCATTAATGACCTTGACCTTTGACCCTTTGATTTGTATTTATTTTATTTGACCTTTATTTATACAGGTAGTCTCATTGAGATTCAGAATCTCATTTCCAAGAGAGACCTGTTAAATGTTGATGCCCAAATCTAATCAGAATGAATACTGCCTTAATGTAGTTACTATGCCTATTTATAAGTAAATATATAATTTCATTCAGGAGATATCGTGCATAGAAAACTAACCGTGATGGACGGACTCCGCACTAACACACAGAACGGTATGCCTCCGGCCCCCAGTGGGCGGAGCCATAATTAATATCCAAATAGAGTTTCTTCACCCGCTTCGGATGTTATCATCCATTAAATGGATGTTATTAGCCGTTATCAGTCCCATAGAATGGCTTCAGACTGTCCCGACTGTGCCCCCTAGTGGGTTCTCTGTCCCATAGAATGGCTTCAGATTGTCAGCTGGTTAGTATGAGGCATAAAACCACTGAGGTTAATTTTAGAGAAAATGACATGGGCTACGATAAAGTAGACCGGACTCTGGCGGCAGCAGATTGTTGCATTCCAACATATATGGCACTGGTAACCCACTAGACGGCACAGTCGGGACAGTCTGAAGCCATTCTATGGGACTGATAACCGCTAATAACATCCATTTAATGGACTGATAACATCCAAACGGGCTGGTTTCTTTGGGTTGTGGGAATACAGGGTTACAAAAATACAAAYGCTTCAAAATGTCATACATGTCAAGTTGATCACATTTTCCATTAATTACTCATTTTTTTCTACATTTTGCATTTATACAGACATAAAGGACAATCGTATGGATTTTTTGTTTTTGCTTCGAATTTATGAAGTCTTAGAGTCAGCAGGCCAATGTTGTACTGTGTGAGAGTACCTAGGAAAATAGATTCCTGAGGGTCAAAATAGAGATAAATACTCTAAGATCCCAAATAAAGAGATGTGAAAAAAGTAAACTAATATACTGTGTAATGTTTATAACTAAATAATTTGAAGGCCTGTACTTTTTGATACACTGATAAGTTTAAATCTACATTGTGGGGCYTGACCTAAATGTAGTAAAATGACTGTGAGGATTTTCACACAGTTTTTTATGTCACAGTGAGGATGAACTGCGCTCAGAGGAAGGCTATAATTGAGGGTAGTCAAGGTTTGGGGTTGCATACAGAGCTGGTGCTCCTGAGGCGATGTTTGGGTACAGCTCTGTCGCTGCACTCCTGACCCCCCCAGGGTCTGCAGGAGCTCTGACTTGTTCAAAGAGAACTTGCACGCACGAGTGTGAAATTTTTAGGAAGCTGCTTACCTTTCATGTATATTTAATTTCCTTTTTCATTTTTTTTCCCAAAAATGGAACAAAGGGGGAATCTTTCCTACAAACTCATCTTTTACTTAGATTTTTTTTTGACACTTCTCTTCCTGTCGAGTCTGTTAGTCTTGTGTACCTTTGTCTACCTGTGAGTCATGTTCTCAGCTGTGCTGTTGGCTTTAACKTGAATGGTTATTGGATTTTTCTTTTTAAAGCTCACTTGCACTTGGGAGTATTTTGGGTCAGTTACAGTGGTTGGACAGAACAYGATTACAGAGGGATTTCTTTGCCACCACTGCTACCTGTCATTTTCACCTGCCCTTCCATTCAAACACACACGCACACACCGTCTTTCTGTTTCACACACGCTCCTGCATATATTTGCCACTTCAGACTTTAGTGGTAGCCTTTAGCTGCTATTCATCATCAACAGCAGCCAGTGGACTATAGCCGCATGAGTCTGACTCTCTAATCCCCAGCTTGAATTACCGTCTTAATGAGCGAGAGACGAGGACTCACACAGCGACGGCACCTCCATCATTCAGTTGTTCGCTTTCAGTCTGCCATCCTTCACATCTCTGTTTCAATTTCGCTCTCTCTCTCCATTTAGATTACCCAGGCTCTTTCTCTCAGTCTTCAGCTACTTTTACTCACCAGCTGAACCAAAGGCACAGAAAAAAACCTATGTTTTACATTGGAACGAACCACCTGTAAACAGTTAAACATTTGAAGCACATTCTATAAAGTCACGTTGCATTAGTGTGGATTGAAAGAACCACTATGAAGAGTAAAGTCGTTTTAATTCACCTGGAGACCTTCATAGTTTATCGATCCTTCCTGTCTCATAGAACCTGCGTGACCATGAGGCTGTATCACTCAGGMAAACGTTGATTGCTTCTCGCAAAATATGTACAAGTATAATGAACTCATTACATAATTCTGAATTCAAAGTGCAGCTTAATTTGGGAGTATTAGCTGCGTTTTCATGTCTACAAATGAATAGCTAAAGTGGCTTTAACCATACTGATAAACGGCCTGCAACCCTGAGCATCGCTTTAGTTAGCTTTTTTTTTCTTTAAACATACAGGTAAATCTATCAAATAGTTACCAATCATCGTGTATTACAAAAACGTCATTTAATGTTGAGACTAATAGGTGCAGCCTTTGCCTACCATGATCTTTTACTATTAAAAAGGGGGTCTGTTAGTGTGAAATGTGAGCCTGTAAATACCACGGCGTCACCAGACTAAGGGGCACAGGTGGTGGTATTTGTGCTGAGATGTGAGAAGCACATTAAAGATGCTGGATGAAGTTGCCTACTTACAGATAATTCTGAATGCTTTTATACTGATTTAAGTTTAACATCCAGTATGCACACATTAACAGAAGTGAAAACAGTAAAGAAAAAAAAAAGTACAAACCAGTAAATGTTATCAGAGGTCCAGTGGTGGGCAGCGCTAATCCAAAAATTAGCTCCGCAATTTCTAAAGTGCTTATGAAAATATTTAGGTCCGCAACTTCAAAAGCACTTATGCCATAGAAATACTAGCGTAAGCTAATTTAAAAGCACAAATTAAATTTGACACTAACTAGCCGGCAACAATTCATGTACAATATATGCACAACACTGCCAACTATCAGTGTATTAACTCTTTTACAACTTAATTCTACAACCGCCAATTGCTGGGGAGGTGATTTCCTGAAACAGACCTTTAGCTCCTGCTGTAAAAATTTAAAAGTTGTTGAGGATTGTTAGTTCGGCTGCTTCTTTGTCTTTTTTTTTTTTGTTTTTTGAAGATTTTTCATTAAAGAAGCATCAATAAAGTAATTTTAAAACAGTTTATTGGGAAAACTGAAGCTATGCATTCTGGGCACATGATGGATTTGATTTGTGACGGTAAACGAAAGCATGGAGTACA